GACCAGGCTGCTCAGAGCTCCATCCAGCCCAGGCTTGGACATTCCTAGGAATGGCTGGCATTTTCCTAAGGGAGAATTGTGGTGTGGACGAGAGCTGTGCTCTGATACCCACCCTCATCCTCTGCATGGGAAGGGGGGCCCAGCACAATTAAATGCCTGCAGGTGTTTGTCCAGCAGCTCCTGTGCTGTTGGAATAACGAGGGCCATGGTTTAATGATCTCAGCTCGCTGCCTAATTAGTCTGAAGCATCAGGACATGCATAGGGAATGGATGCAGCAGAGCAGGCTCCCCACAGAAAGTCTCACTAGTTGTGAGGACCTAAATTTGGGATGAAAAACAGCCATTCTGGAGCGCAGATGAAAATGTTAAAAACAACAGCATTAGCATCAGAGACAAGCCTCGATGTCCTTACAGAGTCTGGAGAGGAGATAATATATGCAAAGCCAAGATTCTCACCAGATAGATTTGTTCTGTGCTAAATGTTGCTTTTCAGCACAAGTCCTGTCTTGTTTTTCTCATTGGTTTCGTTTGTTTTTCAGAAAAAAGCTCTAAATATGCCATTTAAATGCAGCTGAGGGTTGGCATACACTGGACTTGACAGTCTTGTATAAATCCTGAGTTCCTGTGGGATTGCAAACAAGTGGTGCTTCCTTGTAACTAAGAAAAATGCTGAAGGCCTCTGGCAGTGAAGGATTAAAATGAACTTTATAATTGCCACAGGAAGCAGAGCAGGAGGCACAGAAAGGCAGTGACAGACACCGAAGCAGCAAAGCCCAGGAAAGAATCAGTTTATCTCTTTGCAGAGTTTTAGGGAAACACACAGCAATCTTCTTGCCCTGTGCTGAAGGGGAATTTAGACAAAATCCCAGTCATGGTAAACGATGGAATAAACACAGATATCTCATTTGAAAAACAAACTGGGTTTCTCTCTGCTTGCTTCTCACTCAGCTCCTCCTCCTCATTTCCATCTTCCCCAGCACCTCCCCTCCAAAACCTTGCAGTCTTCCTGTCCCAGAAATGAGAATTTTTTTCCCCCTTTCTTTCAGTTACAAGACTCCAGCAAAGCCTGATGGCGTTAACTATATCCGGACAGATGATGAGGTACCAACAAACGCTTTGCATTTCCATCTCTGGCAGCAGAGGAAGAGGGTGGGCAGAGGACGGGGAGCTGGGAGGGCCCACAGGCTTTGTGAGAGTGGGCTCCCCTCCTCAGCAGGGCTGGGGAACAGAGGGAAAGCAGAAGGGTGAGGGCTGAGTCATTTCCTTAGAAATGATGAGGAGTTGAAGCTGCCTGAAGTGACTGATGCCAGGAGCTATCAGAGGCAGCTCTGCTCTGAGTTATCTCGTGGCCTGACCCCCCCTTAGGATGAGTTTCATTGGATTAAGTGGGCAGGACGTGATGCTTTTAGGAGAGAATTTGTATTTTGGGATTTGAGTAGATCACTGAGCTTAAGAGCAGAAAAAGCCTCTCCCATTAGCAGAGATATCAGTGAGGGAATGAGAAAGTCCCTGCCACGCCTTGGTGTGCGAGGGGAACTGGTGCCTCCCTCTCCTTCCCATGGGAAATGGGAGCTGCCTGGGCATGGTTACACAGCTTGGATCCACCTTTTGGGGGCCTGGAAAGCTGCTGGATCCTTCCTACATCCCAAACTGTTTCCTTGCAGGGCGACTTCAGACACAAGTCTTCGTTTGTCATCTAAGACGCCAAAAGGAGATCGCAAACCAGCAAAAGCAAGTGTGAAAATACCTCCTCCAGGAACTCAAAGCAAGAGCAAAAGATGAATTAAGTGCGCTTGGAAGAGTTTGGAACACACAAGAACTCGATAGCTAGCTATCTGTATATCTTTTTTTTCTTTGCCAAAGTTTAAAGTAACTCCTCACTGCCCAACTCGCGTCTCCCCTGCCTCTGGAGATACCAACAGGATCACCCCAACCTGTCCTTGGACTGAGGAAGGCTTTCAGTCCTTCCCAAGAGACTGGGCTGTGTGAAGTTTGTGGAATTGCCTTCTCTTTGTGCTGCAGGGACACGGCCACAGCGTGCAAACCCAGCAGGGGCACAGCATTAGGTAAACCTGTAGTAGACATGAGCAGCAATGTGTTACCAGTAGACAAAAAAAAAAAAAAGGTGCTGATACAGCAGTAGATGGACTTCAAAGAATGAATTTGGGGGATTTCCTCCCAGCAGCTCATTGCCCAGGCCTGGCTGGTGACTTTTCCACATCTGTGATTGTCTTGTGCTCAGGTGCCCAGCCACCAGTGACAGTGAAACCACCACTAATGCCCTCAGCCCTGTGTAAATCCCCAAATGCTTTGTTGGGCAGGGGCAGGGCAGTGCCTCTGCTCCCTGCACGCAGGTAACCCCTGGCTCTAATCTGCACAAAGCAGGCTTGGCTCCTGCGTCCTTCCGTGGGCAAAGAGGCTTACAGGGGAGGCAGGGAACCACTGCTAAGACATCCCTTTCAGGAAAATTAAAGCCAAATAATTTCCTGGGCTAAGATTGCCATAAAAGGTACTGAGAGATTCCTCCAGCTTTTTTTACCTTCTCCGTTTATTTTGTAAAACCCCCCCAACCTTCTAAATTTTTTGCAAAGATCTATTTTGATTACTTCAGAAAAGGTAACATTTCTATTTAAAAGTGTAAATATGTGATGCCAGCAGCGTTTGAGTAACGGAGCTATTTTTTTACTGTTGAAGCTACAGGAGAGGAGCTCACACATTGCTATAGTGTGGCACTGTCAGAGCATATCAGTATTACTGCAAAGTGTAACAAAAAGCTGCAGGTGGAACAGCATCTCTTTACTCTTCAGCCAGCTTCAGCCATTTCCTTGTCACAAGAGGTCTTACCAGACACAGAACAGAGTCACTCAGGGATAGTTTTTGTAAATTTATGGCAGGAGCTATCAACTTTTTTATATGAAAAAAAAAAAATTTCTTGCCAGTGACCAACTTTGTTTTTGTCGTTGCAAGAAATAGCCAGGATGGCTTTTGGATTCAGTTCCAAAGAGGTGACAGAGTGACTTCAGTGTTTGCTGCCCCTCTGCAAGTTCCCTAAAGCACTAACACAGTGTGACAGCTACAGCACCTTGGCAGGGTTAAACCACATGGCCAAGGCCACTGTTTCTGGGCTTGGGAAAGCAAAGCTCAACACAAAAGCACTTTTACAGTGTCAGATGAAATTCTTCTCTAGATGGTAAAGGAAAAAAAAAAAAAAAAAAGAAAAAGCAAAACCAACCAAATTTGGTTCTCTTGGCTTTAGAGAATTGGTGGGGAATATTTTGTTTCCCAAAATATCCACGTTGATGGTGTTGAACAGCATTGGGTGAGACCAGGCTGCAAGATGTGGATGCAACACTAGGACTGTGCTGTGGTTTAGGAAGTTTTTTAATGTAGCAGAATTTAGTGTTCTTGTATTTCCAATATGAATTGAGTTGTCTTAACTTTTTCCTGTATACAGTATTTTGGATACTTGACAATTTGGACTGTCAGTGTTATTTTTTCGTGTTCTGCTTTACTCTGCTTTGTGTCCTGGAGCCCTCGCTGGACATGCCATTGCTGCATTTGTTCTGCCCCAACAAAGCATTGCCACCTGTCCCTTTGCCAGGGGAAGCAAAGGCAAGGATGGGGCAGCCCCAGCCAGGTGTTCTCTGTGTAACTCACTCATCACCACTATCCTGCAGCTTCTCCCTGGTTACCTTAATGCCAGCTCTTCATCCAGCCACCCAGTGCTGATTGTTCTGACATTCCTCTGCACCCTCTGGGCATCCACTGCTCCTCTGTGCTGCTTTCAGGGTACCTCAATAAAGGAGAGAGAGGAAAGGGTTGGACCAGGGTAGCTCTGGGAGCACAATCTGCAAACCAGCAGAGCTAGGAATCCAAACTTCATTTTATTATTTTTCCCCAGTTCTAAAATGCACAGTGGCATCTCTAACGAGAGAAAGGGGAGAGGATCCTTCCCCAACCAGCTCGTGAGAGCTGATGGATGAATTCATTGTATCATTGTGAATAATATTCAGGTTTGTACTAATGTATTACCTTTTAACTTTGCCAAGAATGTTTTACATAAATACCAGGCTATAAAGCATTCTTGTAGGGGTTTTTGTTTGGGCTTGGTGGTGGTTTTCAAACAGCCAAATTATGGGAAGCTCCTGTTTTCAATTCAGTGAAATGAGGGAAAGTCTCTCCTGTCAGAGCACTCTCAGTGGATGGAGGTGACAAAGTCCAGGGCTGTTTATCAGTTTATTCTTGGACATTTGCTCCTGGTTCTTCTCTAGAGAAGACAGGTTAAAACTCACAGGGCTCATCTCAGATACTGCTCGAGGACAAAACTAAAACCAGGAAATAAACAATCCTGATTTACCCTCCAGAGTGGTTAAATAATAGCTGAAGAAGGGACAGAAATAAATGGTTTGGCCATAGCGTCAGCCAAAGCCATTCCATACATCCTCTGTTCTCTGACTTTGATTTTGCAAATAAAGTTCAACCTCACTTGAAGGGCTCTCTGATCTTCAAAACAGAGTAGGGAAAGTGGAGGCAAATGTTGGGATTCAGTGCAGGAGGAAAATGCCTCTGTTTGCACTCCTGCAGCAAACCCTGCTCCGTGCCTGGGGCTGGTGTCTGACTTAGACACACCAGCAGGAATAAAACAGATCCCAGCTCCAGGTTTCAATGAAATCTAGGCCATGAGCTCTGTGATAAAAGCTAAAAACAGGAGAACTTCAGTGAGGTGCACGTGGCCATCAGGGAGACTCAGGAAGGGTCAGATTTACCCAGGATATTTGTGATAAACAAGGCACTTACCCACCTTGTCTGAGTCACTCATACCCTGCTTGCAGCCAAGTCAAAGCCTCTATTTAAAACCTGCTGGCCCAACATTAAGTGAGCTGAGGGCCCAAGATACCAATGATGTGGTAGAAGAGACTGAGAAGCTGTAGAAATCTACAGGGGAAAAAAAAAATCAAATCATTTTTCTGTCAGCTGAAGAAAAGGGGAGACGCCGTGGGTGGAATTAATTCTGCAACCATTTATTTTCATCAAATGCTAATAGTTGGAAATAACACAGTTCAAGAATGGAAATATTCCATATAAAAAGAACATTAAGGCTGTTCATACACACAGGAGTTTGCACAACAAATAAGAGGTGATGTAGCGTGCAATTACCAGATTTAGGGGTGTGGCAGTGACAAGCTGTTTCACCTTTTTTCAAATTAAAGCAACTCTGTTATAAAACCAAGAGGGACAATGAGGCATTGGGTGAGCAAACCCAGCCACTCACTGCCCTGCAAGCTGTGATAAATGAATTTATTGCCAAGCTCGTGGTGACATTATGCCCTTACTTTTCCAAATGGACAAATTACACATCCAGAGAGTGAAAAGCCACCCTCTCCTGTCACCCTGCAGCGTGAAGAGCAGCACTTAGAACCCATCCCTGTGCTCTGCAGGCTTTGCCCATCTCCAGGGCAGCTCTGGGGAGAGCAGACAGGGCAGGATGAGCATCCACAGCCGTTTCCAATGCCAGGGCAGTTCAGGAGCCTTGGTAGGTGTGTGCAGCTCTGGGGGCCGCTCTCAGGTGTCTGCCCTCGGTGGGGCCGTGCAGGGGCAGTTCAGGAGGCTGGTGGCTGTGGGCAGCTCTGGGGAGAGCCAGCTCAGAGCAGACAGGGCAGGATGAGCATCCACAGCTCAGGGGCAGTTCAGGAGCCTGGTGGCTGTGTGCAGCTCAGTGTGCCGCTCTCAGGTGTCTGCCCTCCGGGGGTTTCTGCGCTGGGAGCGCCGCAGGGACCCCGCCTGGCCGCTCCTCTGGGCTGGGGACTCCACCTTCCACTCCCTGGGCCGGCAGGGGCTGTGGGAAGGAAGGAGAACAGCCCTGCATGTCCAAACCCTCGGCCAGCCCTTCTGCAGCGCCTGCTCCAGCCCCTCTCTGGCTCCCAGCA